GGGGGAATGAAATGACTTTTAGTGGAAAACCCTGAGAAAAGTGCCAGGCACTTGGTAAGTACTTAGCACATGTGGGTCATCATTGTCATTAGCTTGGTGCCTAATTTCCTTCAGGAGGAACAAGATGGTAAGGTGGATTCTGAATCCACCTGGGGTTTTTTGTTTTATTAATCTTTGGTTCTTAAGCCAAGGAGACCAAGGTCTGCAAACATTCACAATTCTTTTTATTATTTTTCTCTTTGACACAGACTCGTGTTCTGCTGCCCAGGGTAGAGTACAGTGGCATCATCATAGCTTAGCACAGCCTCTGACTCCTGCCCTCAACCAATCTTCCTGCCTCAGCCTCCTGAGTGGCTGGGACTACATGTGCCTGTCATGACACCTGGCTAATTTTTCTATTTTTAGTAGAGGAGATGAGATCTCCCTCTTGCTTAGGCTGGTTTCAAACTCCTAAACACAAGCTCCATGAGCTCATTGAGGCCTCCCACCTTGGCCTTCCAGAGTGCTAGGATTATAGGCGTGAGCCACCTTGCTCTGCCCCTCCAACATTCACAATTCTTAGAAGTCATTGGCAGATAGTGGATAACCTGAATCTCAAAGGCACAGAGACAGTTTTTCTCACTTTTCTGACAACATCCCCCTAAAGGTAGCAATGCAAAGAGAGCACATCCTTTCTTAGTATTTTCCAACTCTTCCCCCACCTTCCTTAAGGAGTCTTTCTGATCACTGGCTATTTGCAGGTAAGTTCAGTTCTCCCTAAAACTAGTTCAATCTTAGCTGGGCCCGTAGCTCAGTTAGGGTGCTGGCCACATGTGCCTGGGCCGGTGAGTCTGAACCTGCCCTGCTAAACAACAGTTACAACAACAACAACAAAAATAGCCGGGCATTGTGGAGGGCACCTATAGTCCCAGCTACTTGGGAGGCTGAGGCAAGAGAATTGCTTGAGTCCAAGAGTTTGAGGTTGCTGTGAGGTATGACACCACGGCACTCTACCAAGGCGACACAGTGAGACTCCGTCTCCAAAGAAACAAAACAAACAAACAAACAAAAGACTAGTTCAGTCTCAGATCCTTTTCAGCTGACATTGCAATCAAGTTAGCCCCAAAGAGCTCATCTCTGGCTATAGAAAGATTGCTCTTCCATCTTTATTTTATTTTATTTTTTTGTAGAGACAGAGTCTTACTTTATCACTCTTGGTAGAGTGCTGTGGCGTCACAGCACTGCAGCTCACTGCAACCTCCATTTCTTGGGCTTAGGCGATTCTCTTGCCTCAGCCTTCCAAGTAGCTGGGACTACAGGCACCCACCACAACACCTGGCTATTTTTTTGTTGCAGTTCAGCCGGAGCTGGGTTTGAATCCACCACCCTCAGTGTATGGGGCTAGTGCCCTACTCACTGAGCCACAGGCACCACCCTTCCATCTTTATTTTTGTTTTGTTTTTAAATTTTTCAACTCCCTCTGCCAAGAAGATTATGGAAGAATAAGAAAATATGAAGGTTAATCTTATTTTATACATGGGAAACCTGGTTAAACATTTGAAATGTTCAAATACACCACAGTCTGCCTGGAGAACATTTTAGCAGTGGGTAACAACAGCTATGAAACTTTTCAAACCTTTGACCTGGTAATGTCAGTTTTGGGAATATACCCCAAGGAAATAGCCCAAAAGGGAACAAAATGTGATTTGTGCAAAGATGTTCATGTGCTGCTATTTATAAGAGTGGAGAATTGGAAATCATCCAAATGCCAAATAAGGGAATAGCTCAGCAAATTATGGTATAGCGACATAAGGAAACAACAATAAATGATTTTAAATGACAGGAATGTAGCTTCTGCTGGCCCTAGGGAACATGTAGATAAGATTACTTTCAGTGACAAACACCAAACAGAAAGGTTACAACTATGTAAAATGTGTGTTGTGCAAAGGAGTTTAGACTTGAATCTTGAGGAAAAAAAACCAGTTTGGAGTTGGGTCTGGATACTTTGTAAAGTTGCTTGTGAATTGCAGTGTCTACTGTAGTACATTCCAGGTTTATCCATTTTGAGCTTAAAACAGCTATTTGAACATTAAGTAGGTAACAGTTATATATTGATGTTTATAGATATAAAATAAATCAACCAATAGATTTTTGCTTGGCACCAAAATATGTTCACAGTTATATCCCCAGGCATAGGAAAATGGGAACTCTAGCATCAGAACTCTTGGTTCTAGAATCTAGAGACTGCAAAGATTGGAGCGCTGCAGAGAAGACATGCTGTGTATTAAAACGTGTTTGGAATCAGTTCACTGTCTCCTGGTAGATCAATGCCATGCCCAGATATTGTTAGGGACTTAACAACAACCAGTCGAGTGGAGTGACCTAATTTTTCAATGGGGAAATATGAGAAAATTAGATTCCAGAAGCCAAATAAATTGGCGATGCCAAAGAAACATTTACAAAAAAGTAGTACTGACTTGACTTAGTGCCTGTAGCACACTGGTTATGGAGCCAGCCACATACACCCAGGCTGGCGAGTTCAAACCCAGCCTGGGCCTCCTAAACCACAATGACAACTGCAACAAAAAAATAGGAGGGCATTGTGGTGGGTGCCTGTAGTCCAAGCTACTTGGAAGGCTGAGGCAAGAGATTTGCTTAAACCCAGAGTTTGAGGTTGCTGTGAGTTGTGATGCCATGACACTCTACCAACTGAGACACTGTTTCAGAAAAAAAGAAAAACAGTAGCACTGGCTCTTCAATTACTATTTATAAGCAACTTCACAGAAGAAGTATCTAAAAACAAGTGGTGTTGTGATTAAGTCCCCTCTTCTCATTAATTTATTACAAGGTTTCTCAATCCTGGCACTACTAACTTTTGGGGATGATAATTCTTTGTTTTGGGGGACTGTGCAGTGCATTCTAGGTTATTTAGGAAAATCCCTGATTTCTACTCAGTAGATGACCATAGTAGCCCTCCAGTTGTGACATCAAAAATGTCCCCAGGGCAGTACCTGTGGCTCAGTGAGTAGGGTATGGCACCATATACCCAGGGGTAGGGGGGTTCAAACCTGGCCCTGGCCAAACTGCAACAAAAAAATAGCCAGGCACTGTGGTGGGTGCCTGTGGTCCCAGCTACTCGGGAGGCTGAGGCAAGAGAACCACCTAGGCCCAAGAGCTGGAGGTTGCTGTGAGCTATGATGCAATGGCCCTCTACTGAGGGTGACCACAACACCTGGCTATTTTTTTTGGTTGCAATTTGGCTGGGGCCAGGTTTGAACCTGCCACTTTTGGTATATGGGGCCAGCGCCCTACCCACTGAACCATAGGCACCACTGAAGATTGAGACAGAGTCTCATTATGTTGCCCTCAGTAGAGGGCTGTGGCATCACAGCTCACAGCAAACTCAAACTCTTAGGCTTAAGCAATTCTCTTGCCTCAGCCTCCCAAATAGCTGGGACTACAGGCATCCACCACAATGCCCGCCTATTTTTTTTGTTGTAGTTGTCATTGTTGTTTAGTTGGCCTGTGCCGGTTCAAACCCACAAGCCCTGGTGCATGTGGCCAGTGCCCGAACCACTATGCTATGGGCATTGAGCTGCCTCCTAACATTGTTTTTTTTTTTTTTGAGACAGTCTCATTATGTTGCCCTCAGTAGAGTGCAATGATGTTACAGCTCACAGCAACCTCAAACTCTTGGGCTCAAACGATTCTCTTGCCTCAGCCTCCCAAGTAGCTGGGACCACAGGCACCTGCCACAACACCTGGCTATTTTTTGTTGTTGTTGTCATTGTTGTTTGGCAGGCCTGGGCCGGGTTCGAAGCCACCAGCCCTAGTGTATGTGGCCAACACCCTAACCACTGAGCTACAAGTGCTGAGCCAGAATGTTTTATTTTTATTAATAGGTTAAGGTTAGCCACCTTCCAACTAGAGGAGGAACTAACTCACCAGTCTGATGGAGTCATTATGTTTGGGGTAATTTGCCCGTTGGAAGTTTCTAGAAGCATATTTTGTAGCTGTGAAGAACACACAGGATAGAAAATGAGAAAAGGCATAGTTCAGGAAATAACAGTTTGGTGGCCACTGGAACTAGTGAGCCCGCTGACAAAGTTTGGAGAGCCAGCACAAAGCCTGGGGCTGCTGCATCAGTTTTTCCAGAGTTGACTCTGATACCTGCCAGAAACAAGGACTATAGCTCAGGCTCCTGACCCAGCAGCCCTTTGGAGGCTTTGGTGCAGGGGTGTCCATGGTGGTTTCACAAAAGTCAGTAAGTAGAGATGATGCCACTTTCATTTCATTGCCATCACTTGTGGGGCAAAAATGGACTGGCAATCATTTGTGGGGCAAAAATGGAAAGGAAGGCCTTGGCAGTTTAAGGACATGATTTAAGTAAAGGAAACTGATATATGCCACTTGGCTTATTAGATAACTTAAGCCAATTACCATTTCTCAAAAGGCTCACCTGAGTTCACAACCAGGGAGGATCAAGTAGATGTGAGTGAAGTGCAGCCAACTGGCTAGGGTTAAAAAAATTAGAGCAAAAGATGGAGATCAAGAGATGAAATTTATGCCCTCAAAAGATGGCATGCTTGGGGGCGCCCATATCACAATAGTAGGGCACCAGCTACATACACCCAAACTGGCGGGTTCAAACCTGGCCCGGGCCAGCTAAACAACAATGACAACTGCAACCAAAAATAGCCGGGCATTGTGGCGGACACCTGTAGTTCCAGCTACTTGGGAGGCTGAGGCAAGAGAATTGCTTAAGCCCAAGGGTTAGAGGTTGCTGTGAGCTGTGATGCCACAGCACTCTACCCAGGGCAACAGCTTGAGACATCACATTTAAAATATAGTAATCAACAAGACTCTTCATTCATAAATAAAATGTTGTTTTAATAAAATACTGCACATATATATTTTTCTTTTCAAAGATGTTTTAAGCAGGAAAGTTGGTGTGCGTGATAACAAAGTATGGTATATAATTTGTAGCAAAAACAAGGACTTTCAAATAAATAGGCTTTAGCTTTTTTTTTTTTTTTTTTAGGACATAGTCTGCAAATCAGCTGAGACTGGAGAATAGGCAAGAAGAATTGGCTTTTCCCCTAAGAATGTGCTGTTGGTTGGCTTGGGGTAGACAAAGGAGTTATATTTACCCTCCAGGCATCGAAAGTAACATTGGAGTGACCTTCTGGAGAGAAGAATTCTGGCCCTCCCTTTGCCATTTTGTCCAAGATTTAGGAGTTTTCCAGCAACACACAAAAAGCATCCCCACAGAGTTGCCCTTCAGCCGTCTGAAGATCCAGCAGGGTGGGTGTGGAGCCTGCAGAAAATTCTGAGGAAAGCAGAGCTGGAGGCAGATGTGATGTGACAGAGAAGTTAACAAGGCCCGAATATTCTGACCTAGTACTGTACGCATGTAGAGTGTAGCATACACTGCAGCATGTATATGTGTATGTATAGCAGAAAAACAGCAGAAGCAGAGTTAGCCCATCAACCACTTATTAATTATACTTTACGTTGGTTCCCATTACTGAGAGTGCCTTATCATATAATTGAAGCAATTCAGACACTGGTTGGCACATAGTCTAGATGATGACACAACATACTAAACTCTCTGCCATATCAAACCTGCTGTTCCTTTCTCCTTTTCCTGTAAAGATGAGCACAAGTAGAAAATTCTCAGTTGAGATCTCCAGTCTGGGCTCATGAGCTGGCCCAGTCTTACTTTTCTATATCTGGCAAAAGGACAAGTAAATCTTCGGGGAAAAATCCAGAACGACCCAACTTACAAGAGTCAAGACTCTCAAATAGCTGCGTTAGCTTTTCAGAACCATCACCCAATATGATTAGGATTGTAGAAGGGGGAGAGGGTTCCCTGAGCTGACATTAGTACCTTTCGCCTCCTGATGGGCTGGCAGAAGACCCTAGGCGCCCTCAACCCCTACCACAGTCACGGGCTTTAAATACTGAAGACTCCACATTCCCTTACAAAGTCTTCTTGTGCGACTGGCCCAGGACCCGGGCGAGGCAGTAGGGGATGACACTGACGGATGCCAGGGGCACTGTCGCACTCTTGCAGAATGACAGGATGTAAAAAATCAACTCGATTTGGGATGGGGGTTTTAAGGAGTCAAAAAGGTGCAGCAGGACCAGGGAGGCCACAATGCAGCTGAGGCGGAACGGCAGCCACTTGCTGAGTTTCCCCTTGCAGCTCTCCCTGTACATGTTGGAGTTGAGAGCCAGCCCCAGGCCAAAGAGGGTCCCCAGGTTCTTGAGGAGGCTGGCAAAGGGCGTGGTGTCAATGTGGACCCATTCTGGCCGCTCACACCACCTCTTCGCTTTTTCCAGAGTCCACAGGAGGTCTACACCCAGTCCCTTGAGCAGCAGGTAAAATCCAATGGCAAAACTGAACAGGAAGAAGGTGATGAGAACATATTTCTTGAGACTGGCGTTGTAGATGCTCTGGATGTGGCGGAAAGTTTCAGCAACAGCAATGCCTGGGCAAAAGAAAAGAATGACTGTGAGAGAGAGGGAAGATTGGGGGGGGGGGTGGCTTGCCATCTGTCCTGCCATTGTGGAATGAAATCACTAGGCTCCGGATTGGCACCTGGTTTATTGCACCCCATTCTCAGTGTAGACTTTTTCAGAGGGAAGTACACCTTACATACATCCTCCCACTGCCTGCAGGCTTCCTGTTAGGGGTTTCTCCTATCTCTACTTAAATAACCCCAGGGGTGGAGAGCTCACTCCCACTAGAACAGCCCATTTTATCTTTGAATGGATTTGATTGCCAAATAGTTCTTCCTTGTGCTGGGCTCATAACAATCTTCCTTTAATACCATCTATTGCTTTTGATTCTTTCTGCCAAGTTAGTTAAGTCATGAATGTAGTTTCGCTGTCATACTTTTTTTTTTTTGGAAACAGTCTTGCTCTTGTCATGCTGGCTAGAGTGCCATGGCATTAGCCTAGCTCACAGCAACCTCAAACTGCTGGGTTCAAGCCATCCTACTGTCTCAGCCTCCCAGGTAGCTGGGACTACAGGCATCCACCACAATGCCTGGCTAATTTTTCTATTTTTTTTTTCTATTTTTAGTAGAGACAGAGTCTCTTTTTTGCTCAGGCTGGTCTTAAACTCCTGAGCTCAAGCAGTCCTCCTGCCTTGGCCTCCCAGAGTGCTAGGATTTCAGACAGGTGTGAGCCACTGTGCCAGCCAATGTTTGTCACACATTTGAAGACAGTTATCCTCAGGTTTTTCATGTGACATGGCCTCCAGGTTCTTCTCCAAACATGGAGTCTTGTACTAAGTGCTGTGTTGCTTTTGTGATTACCAGGAGATTATTTCTTTTGCTCTAAACCCCTTTTTTTGAATGCTTCTTTGTTCTGCTCTTACAAATCTCCAGGGAAAAATTTCACAATTTCCTTAAGGTCTCATATTCTAGTGCCTCCCACAAAATCTTCCTT